TTTTGCATCCAATACGTATTGAATCCGGTTGTCCAATGTGCCGCGATTACCTGCCGCAAACAGGAATTGCTTATTGGCGCAAAACCAGGATGAACGGTGTTGCAATTTCTTTCCCCCCCCCCTTTCTTTTCGATTTAATTGCCGACGCTTAATTGCTCTTGATTTGAAAATTATTAATAATTTCTAATTAAAATTTAGTTGAATTTTTCAACGTTCGCATAGAAAATACGAAATAACTGAGACACCCTGTATATTACGCTAGAGGGAACACGCCATGGTTTTTGGTGCCTGACTGTCTGCTCCCACACGACAAATCACAACCTGATTAATTGACTGGATCAGTCAGTTCACTGGTTAAACGTTGTTCATTAGGCGAAAAACGTGATCCTAGACGACCTCCGAACAAGTTATCACAGAACGAGAGGTTTTTATACACGAGATTCTAAATATGCTAAGTAGCTTTACTTGGGAAACGCCCGGTCAGGAAAAAAAGAGGTTCCATTCGCGTGTTCAAGATATACAACACGGGCGTTCATTCATTAGTTCTTCTCTTCGATTCCGAAGATAGATATATAGCAACGCCAGCGGCGAATAATTATTCAAATTATTTAGATTTTGCAAATCACAAAATTAGCTCACGCATGGGCCTCAAATGTATCCTTGTCGAAATTTAGGCTACCAGAAAAGTATCTGAAAGCATTATAATTTCGAGTCAATTTTTTAAGCGACCTATTAATTTGGAAGGAGGTTTTATAACGAGAGGAAGAATATAGAAAGCAGATTAAAAAATGCATAAAGAATTCATTTGTTGAAAATCATCCGAATCAATTTGAATGAATAATCTTCACGATATCGCTTTTATTTACGAAATCATCAAGCTATTTAGATAGAAATGTGAAATGTGAAATAAAAATATTTCGTATATCGTATTGTCTTGTGTTTCTATTGAGACGTACCTGCTTTGTACTTTGAAATATTTTCTCATAATTTCTATTGTATTGTATTGTATTGTATGTAGTAAGTATATTAATACCTTACTATCTTTTTTTATTTGTAAGGGTATTCTCTCTCTCTCTC